TTTGTGGAGGAAGAAGAACCAAATAAAAAAGTAAGTTGGTCAAAATAAATCGAAATCAATTTCAGGAAAGCGTATCTAAAGCTCTCTCTAAGCTCTAACCAGACCACCCTATAGCTTATGCAGGAATATTTCTGATTTGCTTTGGCAGGAAGCAAATGAACGGTAAGTGTAAGTAACAGTAGGGTGAGGTTGGTGAGTGAACCTTTTAGCTTATGCTGCAACACGGGAAACCTGAGAGTAATTAAAGCATCAGTTACTATTCAAAAATATGGCTCTTGGAAGGTGAATTGAATTACTGTCAGCTCCCCCTATTCTGACGAGGACCTCTCTTACCAGAGATGTGAGCACAGCAAAGTGACTTGTTTATTGAAAGTTGTCCTTTAGATACTAGAAATATATCCTACCTGCATGCATAGTGCTGCCAGGTTTTATCCCAGCACTAATGCTGCACACCAGAACGTCCAATAATTAATTCTTATGGATGGGGGTAACTAGGGCTCCTGGAAAGCCCTGTTCCTTGACCAGGAAGTTTGGCGTCTAGAAGGTCCCAGATTTCCAGGGCAACATTTCTGAAAACACTATTTTAAAGACATTATTCATACCCTGATCCTCCCCAATGAAGATTTTGGGAGACAGGAAGACTAAAAAGAACAGAATGATTGACTGAAGGCCATGATCCAGACACAAGGGGCACAATCTATCCTCTATGTATCAGTCCTCCGTACTTGTGTTTCTAGATAATCTGATCTTCTAAACATCTGTGTTTATGAGCCTGAAAATATACAGCATAAATCCAAAGTCTTCTAAACATACAGGTCAGGATTTCTCAAGCAGGGTTCCTCCAGAAGTTTCTAGGGGTTCCTTGAGCAAAGCGCAATTTCTGCCTTTCAGAGAAGTTCCCATTGACACAATTGGTCTCTTTTAGCTGTCGGTTAGGGGATAACTCTTCCCAATGACCACAGATGTAAGAAGCATTCTTCCCTTTGATCATCACACCAATGTATCATGGAGTCATAGATATAGTAATTATTAGCAGGGGTTCCCTGAGACTGTAAAATTATTTCAAGGGTCCCTCTGTGTTATAAAGAAAGGCATATATAGGGGTAAAATGCATGGTGGCATGGAATAGATCCTTTTCTATTTTACAAATTTAATAGATAAATTCACCTTTGGAACATGTTACATGTTCCACCCATTTTTAGGGTGGAACATGTAACACGTTCCCATAGCTGCAGCCGCCACGTTGTGGAAACATATTAAAGTGGTCTTAGGCTTGGTTCACACTGGATGCGATTTTAAAATCGTGCATTTTGTTTGTGATTTCACCAAGTTTTCTGAAGATTTGTTTGCAACTTGTGAAGAGTTCCTAACAATTTATTGCTTTTTCTATTGCGTTTTGCAGTGCGATTTCTGTTGTAGTCTATGTATGTGAAATCGCAACAAACTGCAGAATAAGAACTTCTTTTGTAATCGCACTGCAGTAAATCGCGTATGTTAAGACACTCACATTCATTAGTCCTGATTTCAACTCCCAAATCGCACCTAAAATCGCGGCGGTGTGAACCAGGTCTTAAGCCAAAAATAAAAATGTAACAGTGCATTCATAAAGTATTTAGACGCCCTTCTCTTTTTTTAATTTATTTTGTTATATTACAGCCTAATACTGCAGTTGTTTTCAATTCATTTGTTTTTGCTCATTAATCTACACTGAGTACCCCATAAAACCAAAGTGAAAACAGAATTTTAGGAATGTTTGCAAACTTGTAAGGAAAAACTGAAATATTACATTGGCATAAGTATTCAGACCCTTTGCAGCAATACTTGAAATGTAGCCCAGGTGCGTCCCATTTCTGATTTGTTGCTGAGATGTTTCTACACCTTGATTGGAGTCCACCTGTGGTAAATTAAATTGATTGGAAATAATTTGGAAAGGCACACACCTCTCTATGCATTGCCAACTATGAGGCCTTTTATACTGTATCAGCGCAAAAGCCATGAGGTAAAGGGAACTGCCTGTAGAGCTCAAAGACAGGATTATTGCAAGACACAGATATGGGGAAGACTTAAAAAACAATTCTGCATTGAAGGTTCCCAAGAACACTGTAGCCTCCATAATTCTCAAATGGGAAAAAGTTTGGCACAACCAGGACTTTTCCAAGAGCTGGTCGCCTGGCCAAACTGAGCCATCATGGTGAGAAAGTCCTTTAGTAGGAAAGGTGACCAAGAATCCGATGGACAACCATCACTGCAGCCCTCCACCGATCTGGGCCTTATTGCAGAGTAGCTAGACGAAAGCCAAGTGCAAAATGCATGAATGCTCACTTGGAGTTTGCAAAAAAAAGCACCAGAGAGACTCTCAGCAGGCTTGTGTGTGTGTGTGTGTGTGTGTGTGTGTGTGTGTGTTTTGTTTTGTTTTTTTCCTTTCTCTGTAACTTCTTCCCTACCGCCTTTATAGAAGAACTACTGCTACAGGGTTTCGCAAAATCACGTGTGTATATATACGTGATTTAGCATTTCTGGATAGGGGACACGCGAGCACGCCATCCTACCCGCGCCGCCATTGGTGGCTACAGCTATATATATTACAATAGAAGTATATGCAGTGGATATAAAAAGTCTCCACACATTAGACAAATTTTAAATAATTTCAGAACTTTTTCCACCTATTGAATGTGACCCATAAACTGTACAACTCAATTGAAAAACAAACTGAAATCTTTTAGGGGGGGGAAGTAAACATAAAAAACTAAAATAATGTGGTTGCAGAAGTGTGCACAATCTCTTATAACTGGGGATGAAGCTGTGTTCACAATTAAGCAGTCACGTTCAAAATCATGTTAAATAGGAGTCAGTACACACCTGCCGTCCTTTAAAGTAACTCTGATTAACCCCAAATAAAGTTCAGCTGTTCTAGTAGGTCTTTCCTGACTTTTTCTTAGTCGCATCCTACAGCAAAATCCATGGTTCGCAGAGAGCTTCCAAAGTATTAGAGGGATCCCATTGTTAAGGAGAAGGGTACAAAAGAATTTCCAAGGCATTAGATAGACCATGGAACATGAAATTGATGAAAAGACGAGAAGAAAACTGGTCTGGGAGGCTGCCAAGAGGCCTACAGCAACATTAAAGGAACTGCAGGAATATCTGGCAAGTACCGGCTGTGTGGTGCATGTGACAACAATCTCCAGTATTCTTCATATGTCTGGGCTATGGGTAGAGTGGCAAGACGAAAGCCTTTTAGTACGATGAAAAACATCCAAGCTTGGCTAAATTTTGCAAAAACACATCTGAAGTCTCCCAAATGTGGGAAAATGTGTTATGATCTGATGAAACCAAAGTTGAACTTTTTGGCCAGAATTCCAAAAGCTATGTTTTGCCGCAAAAACAACACTGCACATCACCAAAAGAACACCATACCAATAGTGAAGCATGGTGGTGGCAGCATCTGCTTTCGGCCTGCTTTTCTTCAGCTGGAACTGGGGCCATAGTCAAAGTAGAGGGAATTATGAACAGTTCCAAATACCAGTCAATATTGGCACAAAACCTTCAAATTTCTGCTAGAAAGCTGAACACGAAGAGGAACTTCATCTTTCAGCATGACAACAACCCAAAGCATACATCCAAATCAACAAAGGAATGGCTTCACCAGAAGAAGATTAAAGTTTTTTGGAATGGCCCAGCCAGAGCCCAGACCTGAATCCAATCAAAATTCTGTGGGGTGATCTGAAGAGGGCTGTGCACAGGAGATGCCCTCGCAATCTTACAGATTTGGAGTGTTTTTGCAAGGAAGAGTGGGCAAATATTGCCAAGTCAAGATGTGCCAAGCTGATAGACTCATACCCAAAAAGACTGAGTGCTGTAATAAAATCAAAAGGTGCCTCAACAAAGTATTAGTTTAAGGGGGAGCACACTTATGCAACCATATTATTTTATTTATTTTTTACTTCACTCCACCTAAAAGATTTCAGTGTGTTGTTCAACTGAGTTCTACAGTTTTATAAGTTTACATTAACCACTTCCCGACCGATTTATCTTTGTTGTATATAAACGGCCGGACGGTGGCACTGCAGGGTCGGTGGCCGTCTATAAACGGCCTCCCCGCACCCTGCTTGTGCGCGCTCTCAAGCTCCCTGGGAGCGCGCAAGCACCGCGATCCGGTGCCCGCTGTGTCCTCCGGACACAGTGAAACACCGATCGTCGGACGGGACCTCTGTACGAGGTCCCGATCATGTGACCACTGATTGGCCAATCAGTGATCACATGCAAAGTAGTAAGCAAGATGTCACTTGTGACATCATTGCTTACTATGTGTGAAATCTGTGAATGATCAGAGGTCACATGGTACAAGGCTATTCACAAAAGCCTTGTACCATGTGACAAGCTGTGACCAATCACAGCTCACTCTGTATTTCTCAATGAGTGCAGGAATGCACACAGAGAGAAAGAGAAATGATTGCTTTTACATCCTATTATGGGTGTAAAAGCAATCAGTGTAAAAAAAAAAAAAAAAAAAAAAATCTTTTATCACCCCTCACAAGTAGTACAGTGTCACCATGGTGACACTGTACTGCTAGGGTGACCGTATGTAAAAAAAAAAAATAAAAATATAAAAAAATAAAATAAAAATGTAAAAAAAATGTTTAAAAATTATAATTTTTGCTTATAAACTAATTTGGATTTTTTTTTTTTTTTTTACTAAAAAGATAACGGAATAAATTTTGGCTAAGATTTAGGATGAAATATTATTTATTTGCAAAATTTTATTAAAAAAACACTTTTTTAAAAAATTTTTGGACATTTCATTTACATAGCAAAAAAAATACAAATCCCAGTGGTGAATAAATACCACCAAAATAAAGCTTTATCTATCTATCTGAGATGATTTATCTTTGTCTCATTTTTTTACATCACAGAAACCTGACAATTTAACAGGAGTGTAGACTTTTTATATCTATTGGATGCCGCCATTTGTAGATGTTATAACTTTCAAGTAAAACAATTACACGTATTGGGATTTTTTTTTTTTTTTTTTTTTTTTTAGCAAAGACATGTAGCAGAATACATTTTGGCCTACATTTATGAAGATATTTGATTTCTTTTATTGGATATGTTTTATAGCAAAAAGTCAAAAATATAGTTTTTTTTTTTTTTTTTTTTTTTTTTTTCAAAATTGTCAGTCTTTTTTTGTTTATAGCGCAAAAAATAAATGCAGAGGCAATTAAATACTTTTGAAGGGAAGCTCTGTTTGTGGGGAAAAAAGGACATAAATTTAATTTGGGTGCAGCTTTGCATGACCACGCAATTGTCAGTTGGCAGTGCCGTATCATAAAAAATGGCCTGGTCAGGAAGGGGGGTAAATCCTCTGGAGGGCAAGTGGTTACTAAATTCACAGACTTTTCTAAAATTCTGTTTTTTCTTTGTAATGATGGGGTACTGAATGTTGATAATGGAAAAAAAATGAGTTGAAACAACTGCAACTATCAGACTGCAACATAAAAAAAAAAAATTGGAAAAAAAAGAAGGGGGGTCTGAATACTTTATGAATGCACTGTATATTGCCATTTACTAATCCTTAGATGTGGTGGCTGCATTTTTTTTTTTTTTTTTCCTTATTTCACCTTGTGATCAGCCATGTCTCTTAGGGTGTCTGCATTCTGGATGAAGTAGTAAACCAAGCCTCTCTGGACAGCAGCATTATCAGTCTGGGGGGGGGAGGGTAGTGTTATACTAGTAGATTTAGATAGATTTGACTAACAAAAACTGAACTCCAGCTAACACTTTATAATCAGTTACAGCAAACATTTTTTTATCTTCTGGGTCCTTTCACACGGGTGGACTGATCTGGCCCGCCTGTCCGTTTTTAGGATCTGTTTGGACCACCCATTGTTCTCTATGGGGAGGCGGATGTAAACAGAAATTTGTCCATTTACACCCATCTACATCTGATCAGCTAATAGATGGTTGGGGGATCTGTTCTGTTTCACATAAATTAATAAAATCTGACCATTGTAAGCACCCCTGACAGTGTTAAATGCTTTGTCTCAACCTTCTAACTGCTACTTTGTCTGGACAGCTTGTGTGTTGTTGTTTTTTTTTTTTTTTTTTTAAAGGAAATTGAAAAATAACAGACTTACTGGCTGGATCACAAGTTGAAAATAAAGGAAAGAAGCCTACAAACAAAAAGTCATGCATCCACCACACCTAAGAATTGTTGAGCCACAGTTTAAGGCTTCCATCACATGGCTGTAAAAATTGTGCTGATGTTATTGCACGTGTTTTTCTAGGAGAAAAGTTCCTGTGTAATGATTAGTAAAATACTTGTGTATAGATATGTTTAATCATGTAAAGATGTGTACAGATGCACATGCATACATAACCTTATTTTTATTATTTTAGTTTCCCCTTTGTTTAGATTTATTTATGTGTGTACGGATGCGTATACATGCATTTATATGCACAACCACGTAAAACGCATGTTCATAGATACAGATTTTTGGATTCTGTGTTATGGATCTAAAAGCACCTCATCCTGTGTGAATGGCTCCTTTGAAAACAATGTAGCTGTGTTCAGATCTTATGTTTTTTTTTTTTTTTTTACAGCCCTGTGAAATGATTGTTTTGGGGTTTACTATCAGGTAACAATTTGGAGAACTCCATCTTTTTATAGGCAAGCAAAAATCTAAACTAGAAAAGCTACAATTTCTGGGGAAATTGTGTGAAGTGTTCTTGCCTCCACCAGTAGTCTACAACTGGAGTGGGCGAAGTAACTGGGTGGAGTGGCTTGTCACTCTGGTACCTGCTCACACACCTGGGTTCCTATGGCAACTCACTCTACAGCAAGGACAGAGAAGAGCGGTTAAAAACAAACTGCTCCAACTTGCTCACTTCACTGGTGGTTGCCATCTTCAAACGGTTGTAGTTTTAAAAATTTTATAAATCCTACACCGAAGAGCTTTATATTGTGATGGCAGTTTAGAAATCATGTCCTGATTTTTCTACTCGCACTCTAGCTTTTGTCAGCTCCCACTCTAGTTTTGAACATTCAGCCATTCATTCCTATGGGACCAATTTCACCAAAAAAACGCAGATATTTTGGAACCATTCGGCGAAACGTTCCACAAAGTAATAGCACTCCAATTGGGAACAATCCGCGTGTTTTGGTATATTACTGTCTATGTAGTGTAAAAACTGTGGGAGGAGTCAGGGTGGTAAATTTGGCTATAATAATAAGAATATATATGTGAGATACCAGTAAGTGGTCTTGCCATGCAAGAACACTTAACTAATAAAAGAAAATATAAGTTTTTGAACAAGCCTGTGCTATGGATGATAAGTTTAGCCTCCATATATCTGAGCCCACCTATTATATTACAGGTACTTTTAATGCCCAATTATACAACAAAATGCTTACTAGCTTTGTTTCTTCAGTGTAAATAACATACACATAATATTCAGTTGAACACTGCATATGTGCTTGTATATTTTCTGAGCATTATTTGTGTATATTGTCTGTATAAAAAATGCCCTTTTTTTTTTTTTTTTTAAATACTATACAGTATTACATTTGTTTCTAGCAATATAGCAGAAGATGTCTCGTCGCAGCAAGCGTCTCAGCACTCTGGATCAGGAGGATGACCGGAACAGCACTAGCAGCTTGGAGAGTCATGTATTGTACAGAGACAGTCCTGTCAGGTTAGTATTTGTTTTGTGATCCTTCTATGTGGATCATTATTCCACATGCAGTACTTTATCCTAATACACTTTGTTAAACATTTGGCCCTCTAGGTGTGTATATAGGAATATTTTTTTTTAACAAGTCAATCTGCAAGCAGAAGGTATAGAGCAGCTGTCACTGTCACATCCTGTGGTATGCAGAGAGGAAATACGGCTAACACAGGAAACTGTGTGGTCTTAAGCATCATACACAATCACCTCTATAATATGCACAAAAACAAGATGTACCCATCTCTTCCCTTCTTTCTGAGTCACTGTTTCCTTTTTAGAATTTGGTTTATTTTCTAGCAGATAAGCATACATTGGTACATTTCTAAACACATTTAGATAAATACTTCAATGTACACAAAGCTGAAAATATCAGAGAGGCTCTAACTTGTTACATATCTTTAGAAGCTACACCAGATAAATGGCATGAGTAGAAATTTAATCCGTATATGTATTATTATTTTAGACTGATTGTGTAGAACAAAATGTCGTATGATAAACTGTTTAGCCCTAAAAGGGAATTTCGGGGATTGCTATGATTTGACTCCTATTTCAACACAGCAACACATTCTCTGTCCTTTTATACTATCAATTTCTGCACTATCTGCAGTTGAAGTCTGGTATTGCAGCTCCACCAACAAGCAAACACTTTAAATGTTTGCTGAATATGTGATGGTGAAACGCTTCAGACTGCCAAAATGTAAATCGCAGTTAGGCTCGGTTCATATATGTGTGCAGTAGTGGTTTTTAATCGCACACTTTCCTGCACCCGCAGCTAATTCTTAATGATACCCCCATACACTGGAAACCACAGTGTGTTTTTCCTACTATGTCATTTCCATGTGGCTGGTATTATAGAAAAAGTGCAGAGTCCTTATCCTGCATTTCCTGGAGGTACAGCAGCTGTTGTGCCTGTGCAAACGTTGCCATGCAAAAACTGGGAAAGTGTGTACCTATCCTTGGACAAGAGTCCTGTTGCCTAAGTGGGTATGGGGTCATTGATCTTGCTACACATTGGTCAAAAACCTTGAAAATATTTTTATGAATTGTCTAATTATACAGGAGTACAAGGAGGAAAGTGACCACCATCAAACGAGCTCCCATCCCCCAGCAAACCACTGAGCATACATACTACAGTGAGACATCTACATATGTTAGTCGGGACCGAGGTGGTTTGTCTTCAGCCTTAAAGGAAACAGACTATGAAGGATCTACATGGGGTAATGTTACATGCAATATGTGCTGCTGTTGTGAGGATTAATTAAAATTTTTTTTAGTTGACAGGTAAACAGTGACAAACATTTTCCGGGTTTTAATTATGATTGGAGTTTTTTTTTTTATTTTATATTAGATAGAAAAAACATGATTATAAATCATCCAGAAAGATATAGTTTAACCACCACACTCTGATCACCACCTATATATATTAAAATTATGCTCATGGAAGGATTCTTTATTTTTTACATTTTCTTAACCACCACATTAGTTAGTGGACAATAATGCACATGTCTCCAGTCAGCTCCATAGAGTATATAGTTTTCAACTCTCTGTGCCAGTCAGTCTGATCCTTGTTCTGCGATCATCTGCTCTTACGGCTAATTGATTAGTCAGATTAGGTAAGTGTTATTACGAGGTCCAACCAGATAATAGTGCTTAAGTTCCCTTAGCATCTAATAATAACAGCATGACATGAAAATGCCATGGTAGATCCTTGCATGCTTGCTACAGATGCCTGTGATGTTTGATTTTTAAAAATAAAACACTAGGATTTTGTAAAATACTATTAAAACCTCATCATTGTACATAACCACAAAGGAATTTCTTTCTATACCGATTACAGTTTTCAAATCATCTCTAGAAATGGGAACTTGGCATCAGGAAAGGAACTTTGAATACATTCTGGGGCTATACATGAGATACACCCCTTATTATATCTGCTGACTGGAAATTCTCATGAAAATGTTTTGTTACCCTTTTTTACTCTTCCTAATATTTATAATGAGGAAGACAGTACTTCTAATTTTTATGAGCTACAGAATGCTTTCTTTGTAGGAGTAGAGGCTAATTTACTAATGTAGTTGAAATTTTTTCACATACTAAATTGCGTGAATATTCATTATGGTTATCAAATCATGAAAAGCAAATTCCTGTTTACTTATTTCCTTTTGCACATTATTAGATAATTGGAGTAAATATTCACAGTATATTGTGTGAAGATTCTCAACGTTTTTAGTAAATCAACTCAGTAGTGTTCTGAAATGAACATATTATAATTTTCTTAGTCCCTTAAAGAGACCCTATCGTTAAAAAAAAAAAAGAATTGGTTTAAAGTTTCCTGCAAGAGAAGCATTATACTCCACTGTCTCTTGCTACCCCTCCATTCCAACACTGCAGCTTCCATCAGTGTCTGCCATTCGACATTTCTGGAGAGTGTTGGATACCTGTACCCCCCCCCCCCACTGTTCACCAGAAGATCCCTAAAATAGCTCAACAGCAAAGTGGAGTTCAGAGGATGGGATCACGTCAAGCAGTAGGGGACACAAAACTCTTACACTACCAAAGGTGTGGAAGACCTTGAGGTTTGTCCTGCACTTTTATTCAGCAAGGCCTTAAACACAGTGCAGGAGTACTTTGTCAGCAAGCCCATAGCATAAACATACAAAACATCTGCTCATCCAAGCAACTAACATAGCTCTGCTCAGGCCCCATTCACACTTAGGAATGGGACTGCCTGCAATTACCTGCCAGAGACTAATCAGAGTTCCCCTTTATTCAAAGGCTGACCGTGCCTGCAGCTATTCACTGTGGGGCTTCCTACCTGCAGCTAATAGCCGGTAATCCCGCTGAGTCCCCCCTGATAATTTGGTAATTGGAAATTTGCCCTATTCACAAATGTCCCCTAATGGATTCAAAAAAAACACAATAAATGTTTTTTGGTGTTCAGTTGGCACTCAGCCATTAACCCAGCAGCAGGCTCCCACAGCAGATAGAGCAAAAGAGAGTACTGAGGATTGGTCAGCTCACATGTAAATAAAGGCTGTGCACAGAGGAGACTGATAGCATGGTCTAGCTACCAGATGAGATGTGAACAAAGGCTTGTTCCCACTGAAAGCTCTAAGAAAACCTCCAGGACCCAAACAGAACTCATTAAGATTCTGACAAAACCCTTTTTTCCCCCCATATCAGTCATCGACCCTGGAGCCTCTACTATGTGTAGGTGAGAAACCTAGATGACATATGTACACAGTCCACAGTTGTGCTATTTAGTGCCTCACAATATGGATATATAACCTCCTTTTACAAATAAACATTTCATATATGACAAAATGTTCAGACTCTGAGCTTCAGCAGTCATTTTCTTTTAATGAAACCTCAGAGGGAGGGGAGACAAATACTCCTCTGACTTGCAGTATTTCCTTGACTTGTACAATTTAGTTCTGGAAGCATAAGATATAGTGGAAAACGAAGCCTTAGGTTCTTGGGAACAAAAGCTCCCGTGGTCGAGGTTCTATGCCAAAAGCAATAAAAAGGACTTGCGCCTCTCCAAAAAAAAATGAAAATGCCTCAACCTAACTCCCACCTTTATTTGACTTAAAGCTGAAAGCAACCCTGGCACAAGCAATTCAGCTAAAATCCTAGAAGAATTGTGTACACAGCTTTGTAAATTAGACTTGGAGTCTCTGACCTTTAACCAAGATTTAGCAGAGGAATTCTCTGCCAATGTTCAACTAGCAACAATCTTGGACTCCCTTATATCTCTATTTGAAACATTAATCTGCTTGATGTTTTGATTAGCCATCAAAGCATAAAAGACAGGTAAAAAGACAAAGCCCAGAGATTTTGTATATAAAATGTTGATTGACACCCTAACACCTACTTGCTGCATTGTTTACCAAAGTAAGAGAATTCAAATCAATTCTTGCTGAAATGTTAAGGGCACATATTGTGGTGGTGCAAAAGCAGGACCCTCAGGTTTGTTCCTTTTTACATGCCCATCCCTGTTCTGAACTTTGAGTTACATTTTTTTTAAGTAAGATTCTTCTGCAGCATTTAACCACTTGCCCTCCAGAGGATTTACCCCCCTTCCTGACCAGGCCATTTTTTGCGATACAGAGCTGCGTTACTTTAACTGACATTTGCGCAGACATGCAATGCTGCACCCAAATTAATTTTATGTAACTTTGTTTTCCCACAAATAGAGCTTTCTTTTGGTGGTATTTGATCACCTCTGCATTTCGTATGGTATGCTTGTAAGTTCTTTGTCTCAAATCTCTCATGCAGGATAAACCTCAAATACTGTACTGTAGCTTGTTAAAACCTTACTAAACCATATTGTAAAAGTGAAGCCGAAAACTCCATCTGCTGGCTAGATAGAAGAATGCATAACCGTATTAAATATTTCAGTATTTTTTTACTGTACTGTATAATCAACTCTAAGTAATAGGCAGGGTCTGACACATCCCCTTTTTTCCTCTGCAATTTAAGTATATGAGGACACTTGTGCTAAAAGGGTGGTGCTGTTTTTTTTAGTTATGCTACCAAAGAGCACTTGAGAGGGATCACAGGAAACCGCAATTTTACTGAGAGAAAATAATATTTTTTGGCATGTCCAAGCAAAAAATCCATCACATATCATAACCATGCAGGGGTACAGGAATTGTTAAAGTAGAAAAATTCCTTTGAATCAGTGGGAGTAAATAATGCCATAGACATGGTGGTCAGTGGGAGTAAAAAAAAAAAATATATATATATATCATTGGTATCAGTGGAAGGAATAGTGCCCTACCATTGGTGTCAGTGGAAGGAATAGTGCCCTACCATTGGTGTCAGTGGGGGAATTAGCTCCTCATCTCTGGTGTCTTTGGGAGGAATAGTACCTCTCCAGAGGATTTACCCCCTTCCTGACCAGGCCATTTTTTGCAATACAGCGCTGTGTAACTTTAACTGAAAATTGCGTGGTCATGCAACACTGCACCCAAATTAAATTTGTCCTTTTTTACCCACAAATGGAGCTTTCTTTCGGTAGTATTTTGATCACCTCTGCGTCGTCCTCCTTTTTTTTTTTTTTTTTTGCGCTATAAACAAAAAAAGACTAACAATTTTGAGGAAAAAAAAAAAACAATATTTCTGACTCTTTGCTATTAAACATGTCCAGTAAAAAAAAAAAAATTAAAAAATCCAATTTCATCATAAATTTAGGCCAAAATGTCTTCTGCTACATGTCTTTGCTAAAAAAAAAAAAAAAAAAAATCCCAATACGTGTAAATTAATTGGTTTACGTGAAAGTTATAGCATCTGCAAATGGGGTATATATACTGGAATTGTGGTGGGTTTTTTTATTTTTATACTAGTAATGGCGGCAATCAGTGACTTTTATAGCGGGACTGCAGCAGCATTCTGACACTGGGGGGGAACTGACATCCCCAGTGACACTAATGCAGCGATTAGCTCTAATAAAAAGCACTGACACTGTATTAATGACACTGGGCAGGAAGGGGTTAACATCTGGGGTGGTCTGCTATGCAGAGCAATACAAAGCGGTGTGCAGGAGCTGACAGCGGAGAAATATATATTGTTTACATACAAACCTCTACCCCGTCAGTGATACTCAGCGATTGCCAGGTGCCAGCGGGGAAACACCGTCCGGGACCTGGGGATCGACAGCTGAGGCCACCAATGGCAGCACGGGTAGGGCACGTGCGCCCCCCCCCCCCACCTGGAAATGCAAAATCACATGTGTATATATACGTGATTTTGCACACTGCTACTTTTGGCAGTATTTCTGCTATAGGGTGGCAGGAAAGCGGTTAAATTGGGCTTTCAAGGTTGTGTCTTTGTTTTCTGCCTTGTAAAGTTACCCATGCATCCAGTATCCTATTGTTCATGTTTACCATTATCATCGAAAGTGAAAAAAAATCCCACATTTTAGGTTGTCCCCAGAACAGTGATAGAGGGGAAATCTTTCAGTGGGGACAATAGTTCTGGTGACAATGATGACAACAAGGGATTCTGAATGAGAGCTCAATTTTAATACTGAGAGCGGATCATGAATACAGGGATACAGACAATAACCAAAACCCAGTAGTGATTCTAACCCAGGGGTGGGCAAACTTTTTGACTTGAGGGCCGCAATGGGTTCATATATTTGACCCGGGGGCCGGACCAAGAGTAGATGAATGATGTGTATGTGTGAATTAATATAAATTAAATTACCTTTGCTCCGCGCGTTCCTCTCGCCGTGTTTCCCGCGCCGTTCCAGTCTTCAGGGCGACTGTGAGAGGAGCCTAGCTCCCCTCACGTTCGTCACGCTGCCCCGCCTACACACATCCTGACAGCCAATCACTGGCTATCAGGATGTGAGTGGCAGCAAGACTGGCCAATCATTGCATTTGAGCGCGCTGAATGATGCAAATGTTTGCCTGCCCTGGCTTTTTTTTTTTTTTTGTATCACGCTCCGCGGGCCGGAATAAAAGGTCCGCCGGGCCGGAATAAAAGGTCCGCCGGGCCGGATTAAAAGGTCCGCCGGGCCGTATACGGCCCGTGTGCCGTAGTTTGCCCATTCCTGTTCTAACCTAACCCCACACCGATCTTTTACTATATGCTTTTTTTGAGTTTCACTAATGTGCTTTTTTGCTGGTATGCTTGTATGGTGGAGGGTTGTTGACAATGGAATTTTAGGCCAAATATTGGTTACTGGATTAAATGTTTTATAGTTTAAAGGTTTTTGTATGGCAAAACACCATTTTATGTTACAAGTTTGGTTAGTACACATCCCACTTTTAATAGATGAAAATATATTTCTCATGCTATGGAAAATGCACATTATACAAAAAAGTTTATTAAATAAGAAGGTTAACGTTTATCATTTTATGTGCCCATTGTGCAATTTGACTTCTGCAGGAGAGAGTGACTTGGTACGGAAAAGGCTTGGGATAGATATTTCCCACATCAGCAGCAAGAATGGCTTCTCAGATAGACAGACAGCGTATGACAAATCTCCTTCATCTTCTGGTTATTCTTCAGAGGAGGATTACAATGGTAAGGGCTTCTGTTTTAAATCTCTGTTTCTACATAAAAGGAGTATGGTCAAAGAAATAGTGTATGTGAAGCCAAGACTTTTTTGCTCGATAGAATGGAAAAAAAGTGTAATAACCCTGGTCATGCTTTGTTGCTGTCTGGGGAGATTTACCCACCCTGTTTGTCCTGATGACTGTTGTCTTTGGTACAAAAAGTGATAGGAAATCCAGAATTTGACCATGGTCACAGGGACAAGTATTGAGGAAAAATCTTCCAATAGGGACACTGTTCTGGTTACAACTGTTTAAGTGGTTTCTTCTAGTTTTGGAGAGATTTCCTCTAACTAGTATAATCTGGGCCAGGAAGTGAAACTTCTCTAATGGGTAAAAATGAAAAATCCCTGATGGGGTTTTAACCCTTCTGTACTTAATCTAATAAACTTTGACTTTTAGTCACACATACTGTACACATCAGATTGGATCATGCATTAGGTTGCTGAAACATTTTATTACAAGAATTCTGAAACCTAAGCTCTTAAATATACAGTGCCTTGAAAAAGTATTCATACTCCTTGAAATTTTCCACATTTTGTCATGTTACAAGCCAAAAACGTAAATGTATTTTATTGGGATTTTGCGATAGACCAACACAAAGTGGCACATAATTGTGAAGTTGAAGGAAAATGATAAATGGTTTTCAAAATTTTTTACAAATATCTAAAAAGTGTGGTGTGTATTTGTATTTGGCCCCGTTTTACTCTGATACCCCTAACTAAAATCTAGTGGAACCTTCAGAAGTCACCTAATTAGTAATTAGTACAGCTGTGTGTAATTTAATATCAGTATAAATACAGCTGTTCTGCCAAGCTTTGAACATCTCACGGAGTTCTGTTCAATCCATCATCTGAAAATGGAAAGAGTACGGCACAACTGCAAACCTACCAAGACATGGCCGTCCACCTAAACTGACAGGCCTGAGCAAGGAGAGCATTAATCAGTGAAGCAGCCAGAAAGGGGCCCATGGTAACTCTGGCGGAGCTGCAGAAATCCACATCTCAGGTGGGAGAATCGGTCCACAGGACAACTATTAATCGTGCACTCTGCAAATCTGGCCTTTATGGAAGAGTGGCAAGAAGAAAGCCATTGTTGAAAAAAAGCCATAAGAAGTCTCATTTGCATTTTGCGAGGAGCCATGTGGGGGGACACAGCAAATATGTGGAAGAAGGTGCTCTGGTCAGATGAGACCAAAATGGAACTTTTTGGCCTTTAAAGCAAAACGCAATGAGTGGTGGACAAATAATACTGCACATCACCTTGAACACACCATCCCCACTGTGAAACATGGTGGTGGCAGCATCATGTTATGGGGATGCTTTTAGTCAGCAGGGACAGGGAAGGGAAACAGAAGACGTTAGATTTTTAAATTTTTTTTTCATTTTTCTAACGTCTTCTGTTTTCTTATTTATTACATCCTCTCTTTTTTTCCATTTGGTTTCCTTTACCCCCCCATTTAACATCCATGACTTTACACTATTCACCTGACAGCAATGGTCAATCACTGGTTAATTGGTTAATTGATCAATTAGACTCACGTTCCCTATATATTCACCCCTGTTCATCCACCTCCCCCTGCTTGAAAAAGGAGTGCACTTCCGCCTTCCACGGCCAGTGCATGCTCCGAAACGCGTCGCATCACGGCCACGGTCATCACGGCCACGCCGCCGCTACGTTCCAGCGTGCGTTCCATCCGGCTCTGAGGGAGAACGTGCACGCCAGCCGGCCTCACCGCTGTTCCCCTCCAGCCACCACGCTGTTCCAGCCGAGAGCTGACCTCCCCACATCGCAGTAAGATGACGGCTCTTCACCCGGGTTACCACCCCACCGTTAACTATTGTTAACCACGGTTTTTAAGCTTATGATTACTTCACACATGTGAGTGTTTTCTACATTTAGACTTGAATTAAAAGACTTATTGCACTTAGAGGCGCTTCTCTCCTTTTTCTCATCTACAGAAATTGCTACAACTTATTTGGAAGCCTTGCCCTCAGTGCAACACGGAATCCTACGCTCTTCATACAGTAGCCACTAATACCACAATCACCCCATATTACCATTTCCCAGGACTTTGCAGTGTTTGCGCTGTTACAACCCTTCCTCAGTTGATGAGAAGATGGATGGAGCCAAATACAAGGCAATCTTAGAAGAAAACTTGTTAGAGACTGCAAAAGACTTGAGACTGGGGCAAAGGTTCACCTACCCAGCAGGACAATGACCCTAAACATACAGCCAGAGCTGCAATGGAATAATTTTAGACCAAAGCATATTCATAAGTTTAGAATTGCCTAGTCAAAGAAATCCAATTGAGAATCTGTGGAAACACTTGAAAATTGCTGCTCACAGATGCTCTCCATCCAATCGGACAGAGCTTGAGCTATTTTGCAAAGAAGAATGGGCAAAAATGTAATTCTCTAAAGGTGCAAAGCTGGTAGAGACATACCCCAAAAGACTTGCAGCTGTAATTGCAGCGAAAGGTGGTTCTACAAAGTATTGACTCAGGGGGACTGAGTACAAATGCATGGCACACTTTTTTCACGTATTTATTTGTAAAAAGTTTTGAAAAACTTTTATTATTTTCCTTCAACTTCACAATTTATGTGCCACTTTTTGTGTTGGTCTATCACATAAAATCCTAATAAAATACGTTTGTTTTTGGTTGTAACATGACAAAATGTGGAAAATTTCAAGAGGTATAAATACTTTTTTCAAGGCACTATAAGTCAACCACAAAGCTCTAGGTGTCTATTTAAGTGCTATGCAGATCTGAAGGGGCCAGCTTCTTTTAATCTGAGGATGCCCTCTGATTCTAAAGGTTTGCAGTTCTCAGCACAGGAAATCATTTATTCCTTGTGTTAATTGGTATAGAGCCTCAGATGCAGTCTGATTGGCTCTAGAACTTACAGCAATACTGTCACTTAAAAGTGGAACACGCTAGTGATTGTAATGGTCAGCAGGTGGAACCACCGTGTACAATGGGACAGAAATGTCAGACACTTCTGGAAGTACCTAAAAATTCTGTCAGTGAGGGTAGCCCCACAAGCAAGCACAGAGCAGAGGCATGAGTGGCAGGACAGGTTAAGAATATTTACATAGTTACAGAACTAGTATCCATATGCAGAACCTGATACTCCACAGTTGGTCCAGGAGAAGGCAAACAAACCTGTATACATTTCTTGATGGGTGCCTTGGAAGACTCCATAAAGCAGCTTTTATGAGTGGGCACTATGTCTGTCTATATGAGAAGAATCCTTTTGGCTTAAATGTGGATTTGCAGAACTTCTCTGCAAGAAGCAAATTGAGGGGCAGTCCTCTGGGAATGAAGGCTTATTTGGGTCGTACCTGGATGCCTACATTCAAAAGATAACTGTGGGGAAAAGCAGTCTGTAATTCTTAAAGGCAAAGGTTATTGGTCAAAAATCAGTGACACCTTTTGGAATCCAAGAAGCTCCTTTCCTAAACACCCCCTGGCTCTAAGCAAAAACCAACATTCGAGTTTCATAAGAAGAACTGGACCCCTAAGAAGAACTAGATCCCTAAATCCTCTTCACAGTGAAGGGGCACCCTGATTCACGCAGGTGCGTAGACGTCTATTGGCTTCAGATGATTAGATCTGCATCATGGTATCCAGAGGCTATAAGCTGGAGTTCCACTGCTTTCCCCCTCCACACTTTGTGTTCAAGGGTGTCTTTGAGAGTGAGTAATATTTTAGTGGCCTTGAAAAGACTACTGACCCAGGAGGGTCATCGCACCTGTGTCAGCAAAAGAGAAGTCTCATGGCTTCTATCCCAACCTGTTCATAGTTCCCAGGCCAAAGTATAAACGTCTGGCATTTTCTGGACCTAAAGGGTCTCAAGTTCCAGAATGGAGTCCACCTGGTCAATGATTGCTTTGCTTCATCAAGGGGATGAACTTCTTCAGTGGATATCAAGGATGGCTTCCTGTACATTTTGATTTTCCAACCTCACCAATGATTTTGTTGAATCACAGTAGAGAATTGCCACTGTCAATTTGTGGCCTTACCCTTTCGCCTATCCATCGCCCCTAGGGTGTTGACCAAGATGTTGGCTCCTGTTCTGAGGTTGCTGAGAACCCAGGCTATCAATATTGTGGGGTCCCGGACAGGTTTCTGTCAAAAACCAGGGATCCTCCCACATTTGGGGTAATGGCTCTAGTGACTCCCTTGACTCAACTGCTGATTTTGTAAAGATATGGGCCATTCCAATTATTCTAATTGCACTGGCTTGGTCAAGAAAAATGTGGTATGCCAATATCCTAAGTCTCTTGGCAGACAAGCTATGGGTTCTTCCAGATTGGCCTGATATGCTATCGCAAGGTCCAATCTTACATCCTACTTTACAGCTGTTGTCTGATGGCAAGACTGTTGAAGCCCTGAGCAATAGGGGTGTTGCAGATTCTATAAGGGCTAGTAGGTAAACCTCCAGGAAAGCATACAATTATACATTGAAGTCTTATTTCACTTTGTGTGAACCTTGTAAGTTTCAACCCTTACTGTATGTTGTGGGGTTTATTTTGGATTATTTCTAGTCTGGTGTGCAGATGTCTTTTGGTTTTGAGTATCATCAAGGGACAGATCTTGGTTTTGGCTATGCTATTTCAGAGACCTATCATGTGTATTCCTTGGTTAAAGCTTTTGTGCAGGGTTTTTCGTGAATTGCTCTGCCCGTGTGAACCCCTTTGCCTCTGTGGGACCTTAATTTGGTCTGGTCTGTTTTGCAGTATTCTCCATTTGAATCTCTTAAGGAGATTCCCTTGTGTGTGTGTGTGTGTGTGTGTGTGTGTGTGTGTGTGTGTGTGTGTGTGTGTGTGTGTGTGTGTGTGTGTGTGTGTGTGTGTGTGTGTTTTTTGCAGCCTTGGTCCTCCTTTCCTACCTAAGGCGGTTTCTTCATTACACCTGAATCAGAACATTGTACTGCCATCTTTTTTTCCTAAACATCCTAAGGAGAG